GTAGGTAGGTAGATAGAGGGAGAGAGAAATACAGTAGGTAGGGAGGGAGAGAGAGAGTAGGTAGGTAGATAGAGGGAGCGAGAGAGAGAGAAATACAGTAGATAGGTAGAGCGAGAGAGAGAGAAATACAGTAGATAGGTAGGGATAGAGTAGGTAAGTAGGTAGGTAGATAGAGGATAGAGAGAGAAATACAATAGGTAGGTAGTGAGAGAGAGTAGGTAGGTAGGTTGTGTGAGAGAGAGAGTAGGTAGGTAGGTAGAGGGACAGAGAGAGAAATACAGTAGGTAGTAGGGAGAGAAAGACAAAGTAGGTAGATGGGTAGGTAGAGGGATAGAGAGAGATAAATACAGTAGGTAGGTAGGGAGAGAGAGTAGGTAGGTATGTAAGTAGATAGAGGGATAGAGAGAAACACAGTAGATAGGTAGGGAGAGATAGAGAGTAAGTAGATGTTTCCAGGTGCATTTATCCATGTGCTGGAGAAGGAAATAGCTGACAACCTGCAGCACCTAAGATTTGTTTCTGCTGGCACAGCACTTGATCAATGTAATTCTCATCAATCACTCTAACTAAAGAGCTTTCGGAAAAGGAAAAAAAAGTTTTTGCACTCTGCAAACCTCCCCAAAATGGCCCGTTTTTCGCAAAAACAGACCTGTGTTTTTTTTCAAATAAAAGGCATGAATAGCCTTGGGGGGGATTGCAGAGTGCTCCTGGGGGGTAAGGGGGCAAAAAAGAGCAAAAAACAGCCAGTTTTTCGCAAAACGGGCCCATTTTTGTAAAAAAAATAATGCATGCATAGCCTTATGTATGCTTATAGAGTGCTGCAGGGAGGGGGCATAAAATGGCCCATTTTTTGCTCATTTCTGCTCTTCCCAGCCCCCAGGAGTTCTCTGAAAGACTTCCTAAGGGTATGCACGCCCATTTTGGTGAAGGGGGCGGAGCTTCAGGAGGGAAAAAATGATGTATTCAGTGTGTAAGACGCACCCAGATTTTCAGCCCCTTTTTTGAGGAAAAAAGGTGCGTCTTATACTCTAAAAAATTCGGTAGCTTCAGCATGATCATGCCGAAGATTAAATTCCTTAGTCTTAATATCTAAAATTCAGATTAAAAATGCATGCATATCAGCTACAAGTATTGAGCAGTAAAAAAAAAGAGTCTTCTGCATTTCATTGCTGTTATCTGATAGTTATTTGGATTTGTGGAGCCCAGATCTGGTAGAATTAATGCATATAATCATCACAAGATAATAGCATTTTATTGGCAGTGGAAAAAAATGCTTCAGAAATTTATTGAAAGAAAGCAATAAATAATACTGTGATAAAAATAGTTCAAAGTACTTAGACTGTACATAATTTGTTACATTATTCAAAGTACATATAAGGTTAATAGAAAAAATAGTAACAATGAATTCAAGTTGTACAATTTAAAAAGAGCCAAACCAAAAACAGAAAAAAAAGACATGCCATGTATATTATTGCATAATAAATAATGCACCATGATCTGAATCTCCTCCTTGCTGGCTTCGTAAGATACTATTTAAAAATGAATGATGCATTTTCTACTTATACTGTTTGCAATGACTAAAACTATTAACAACTAAAAAGTTTGTCTGGATTTTAAAACAAGCTTATAAATATATCCAAAAGATGACATAAGAAAAGTAAGGCCTTTTTAATAGTTGCACTACTACATGCCTCCATGTATTATGCTCTTAGCATCTTTGTCATTTGGCAGCAGTGCATAATGATTGGTCCATTAAAAGAACTGCATCAATATCTTTTCACAAACATTTTCACATCAAAACACAGGAAGGGAGCACTCTGTGTTGCCTGTCAAGTACTCTTAGTAGCTATTCTTGCTTAACAGAAAATATTTCCATTTATGGCTTACTTATGCTCAATCAATGAACATAGACTGTACAAATACAGCCACAAAAAGTAGTTACAAATGACCTTGTTAGGTCTCATATGTTTCATAATGTTCTAGAAATTCCCACATTTATGAATGTAAAGCAAATTATACTAAACAAAAGCCTTAAATAAGAATACACACTAAATAATCAAATGTTAAGTTTAAAAGGTACGGCTTCTAACGGAAATGGAATCAGGTACCATGCCTGTTTTGTTAATAAACATATGCCTCTCTGAAAAAAAGGAATTATTTCAATTTTTAGAGTTAGCTAGCATTTTTCAAACAGCAATATATATATACTGCTTGGTGTCATGATGTCTTTACAAAGATTGTAAAAAAATTTCACCTTCACTTTATTAAACTCATTACTGGTAATTACAATAACTCTATAATTTACAATAAAGCCCTATTTTTCTTATAGGGACAGATACATACAAGCATTACAGTACATTCAGATGAAAATACTAAAATTAACATAAAGTAATAACTTGATTGACAGACAATTCTAATAGAAAATTAAGTAATGGGACACACATACACCCTTATAGGTATAAGAAACATTTAATCTAAAATACTTTTTATAGTACTCACAAATTCACTCGCTAATTAAAAACCCTGTAATAAAATATTTCAAAGTGTTCATTTAACAAGTATTAACAGATTAAAGATTTCAGCTGTTTCCAAAATATGGTCATTGAGTTCAAAATGGTTCAGCTCATCTGTAGAAATAGTGGGGATAAACTGAAAGTAAAATAAACATTAATTTCAGAACATTAGAAACTGCCATAATGCAACAAGGAAGAGCAAGTATGAAAGAAAATAATAACCTTCATCTACCATATTTTAATCAAGAGAAGAGTAAAAAACTCCCACAATCTGATTATTTGCCAAATTTAATCCCTTATCCATTCCCATGATAACTAGCAATATGAAAGGCTTTACTTAGGTCTGACAGCACTTACAAGCTACAGGAATGGCTATACATTATATTCTTTTAAGTTTAGGATGATCGGAGCATATTCCATGGAAATTTGACAATTCATTGCTTGGATTAGAATATCTTCATAACAAAAGCATACACAATAAAACTATGTATATGGCTACCTTCCTATACTTGCTACCTCTACCAAAATATATTTAGAAGTAGCAAGTATAGTATATTTAGTTGCACCAAAAAGATGTTTTATTACTCATCTACTTGTTAATAATATTTCTCTAACACAGAATTTTTAATAAACAATACAATTTATAGCCCATATATATTTGTTGTAATTTACATATAAATATAATGAACTTTTACTCATGGAGCACGAGAAGCTTCCTCTGAAGAGGTCAGAGCAATAATTTCTATTCTTTTCCCTTCTTTCTGCTGCAGGTCTCCTAACTCCTTCACTGGAGTATTTATTTAGAATACTTTGGGAAAGAAGTTGGTAGAGCCACCACCTTACCTTTTCTTTTTCAAGAGCTAAATTTTGCAGTTATATTAAGCACAACATAAGCTGGTTATGTTGCAAAAAATATGAGTAAGCAAAATATTTAATTTCCATAGGCAAGGCTGGGCAAAAAGGGATGTGATGAGGTAGAGGGTTTGGATTTATTTTCTGTAGCACCAGAGGGTAAAACAAGAACCAAGGAGGATGGAAACTTTAGAGAGATTGATTCAACCTTGAAATAAGGAGGCATATCCTTAATAGCTCCTGTGAGAGCTATTAAGTTATGGAATGGCTTGCCTCCTTAGTCATGAGTCTCTAGCACTGAGGTTTTCAAGAAAAGATTGGACAGCCATTTTTGTGAGATGGACTGCCAAGGTCCTTTTCAATCTTATGATTCTATGTCAGGATTACTGGTTCATGTAATCTGCAAACTGGTTTATAAATTCGTAACTTGGGATATTACACAATGAATATCAGTTGCACTAATCTTCAATATGTCATTGGAATAAAACTTCGAATAAAATAAATGCATATTGTTCATCAGTGTGTCACTTCTACTTACCAATGAAAGTCTTTAACATGAATAAGTTCTTATTGTAGCAGAATCCAATCTTTGTGTTGCTGATACATTGCCTATTTCAACAACAATCAAGAAAACATGCAGAATATAGCATGCTGTTAGTATTACACAAGAAAGTTACAAAAGGTTAACTACACAGAATGAAGCATTCCTGGTTATGTTTTTGCTTTTCCAAGCTTCGGTATATATTTGAAATCATAATATATACCGAAGCATATTGACTTCATAATATAGCAGGTAAGTTTTAAACATACTGAATACATGATTATTAAATGGGTTTTTACTGACTGACCTATATATCATCCCCATTCATCTGAGCAGGCTAAAATAACTTAATTTCTCATCACAGTGTAAAAAACTAAAGCTAAAAGGCATAACACATGGTTTTGAGTATGATCCTGGAAATCTCCAGGCTGGGAAATACTCCTTTTTGAAATCTTATAGTTCTAGTACAAGATAGTACAGTACTTATTTTTATATATAAAATATTTTTATATGTAAAAAATAAAGCTTACAATTCTGATCCTAGTAGACAAATGCTGGAGATAAATACTTAAAATGTTCAAATTACCAGGCACATTTTGTAGCCCCACATCAACCAATAAACATTTAATTACTGCCAGTAAAAAGCAGTCTCTGGAATGTTGACAACACATTGAATAAGATATGTATTAGAGGTTTTAAATCATTTACTATTCATTTTTATTTCATACAGACTTTTTTTGTCTTCAGAATTCTTTGATTTCTTTAGTATTAGAAAACTTGAACTTGAGAACAATATCAATGTGTGTGTATAATCTTTTTTTAATGCTTTGCCCTAATGAACTGGACATCAGGATCTATAGAAAATAATTAAATATATTTTGAAATTTTCACTCTTTAAAAGTTAATGACTGACTGAAAGGTACAACTTTTTAATTTGAAGCTAAATAACCTCAGGTAGTTGGGGGGGGGATGAAAACTGTAAATTATCAAGATGGGAATCAAAAAGCAAGATAATAGAAGTAAAATAAAGATGAACAAAATAGGGCTAGCACTAAGAGGAAAACTATAGATTAGAATTTTAAAATAACATTTTAACATGCTGCTGAATGCTAGAAACAAATGGCCCATACTTTTCTCCCATTTGCATTATTACAATCTGCTCTCTGTTGGTCTGTCCTTGCTTTATAATTCTGGACACTGATATCTATCTTTCAGTGTCAGATGACATTTTTACTTCCTCATTGAAGATATAGTGCCCACAGACTGACCATGCCAGTAGTAATTTTTTTTTTTAATTACTTCTTTGTACAATAATCCTCCATTTAGGAAAGTTTAATGATGGTTCAAAGTTATGATGGACTTGGAATGACCATTGGCTTACCTGGACAGTCGTTCTCTGGGCGCTGCAGGAGATTCCAAGCATGGGTTAAATTCAGTCTATTCACCCAAGGACTCAGTTGAAATTCTTAGCCACGCCTCCTCTCCTCATTGAGGTTCAGTTCAAAAACGAAGGCATAGTCTATGATGGATTGTGATCTTGAAGTGTCCTTTGGACGTCTCCATAGCCCACACGCTCCGAGCAGCCTGAGACGCCTGATAAATGAGGGATGAAGAAAACCCCAGGGTGGGGTTGGACTCTCCCACAACACCCAAAGAACGACTGTTCAGGTAAGTCAACAGTCATCCTCCTGTGCGTTGCTTGGAGAGTCCAAGCATGGGACATACCTAAGCTATGAAGTCCTAGGGAGGGCAACATGATCGTCCCGGGTGCGCGGAGTAACAACTACCCTCTGCAACACTCTCCTCCCAAAGGACGCCTCTGCTGCAGCGTAGGGGTCAATACAGTAATGCTTAATGAACAGAGTCGGAGACGACCAGGTAACCGCTCTGCAGATTTCTTCCACAGGAACTTGTTTCGCCCACGCAGCTGTGGTGGCCGCACTCCATGTGGAATGAACGATGAGTCTAGGTGGTACTGTCTTGCCCTGGTGCTGGTAGGCCAGTTTGATACAAGCCCTCAACCACTGACCGATGGTGGACGGTGACACCTTGTGTCCCATGGAACCCGGTTGAAAAGAGAAGGGATTCGGAGCAACGAAACTCCTTTGTTCTCTTGATGTAGCAGCGAACCGTTCTCTGAACGTCAAGCTTGTGCCAAGTTCGTTCCTTGGGATGCTGAGGGTGAGGGCAGAAGTTGGGAAGTACAACTTCCTGCGATCTATGGAACAGATTTAATCTTTGGCAAAAAAGCCGGATCTAGCCGGAGGGTGACCCGGTTGGCGTGTAAAACACATAAGTCCTCACGGATGAAAAGAGCAGATAACTCTAACACCCTCCTTGCTGATGTAATTGCTATAAGAAAGGCTGTCTTCAGAGTTAGGTGACGAAGACCAATGGAACGTATAGGTTCAAATTGTGTCTTGGTCAGGGCCCTCAGAACAAGCAGGAGGTCCCAGGTGGGGAACCTGTGTACCTTAGGGGGGCACAAATTGGAGGACCCCTTGAGGAAACTCCTGACCTGAGGGTGCTGCCCTAAGGAAACAGCTGAATGTCTAGCAAGAATGGTAGAAAGTGCTGCCACTTGGCGGCGGAGGGTGTTGGGAGACAGGCCGTTATCCAATCCTGCCTGCAAGAAGTCCAGCAGTTGTGGTATGGATGCCGAAGTGGGTACTATATCTAGTGTCCTACACCAGGCATCAAATGCCGCCCATGTGGCGTCATAAATCCAAGTAGTAGATGGACATCAGGATGCCTGGATGGTACAAATGACTTTGTCAGATAGATTGTCTTTCCTCAGGAGCTCCCCCTCAAGTGCCAGATGACCAGTTGGAGCCAGATGGGATCCAGATGTGCTATGGCACCCTGGGTGAGGGAGAATAGCTCCTGAGGTATCTTCCATGGTCTGTGAATGGAGAGACTGACAAGGTCCGCATACCACGATCTCCTGGGCCAGTGAGGTGCTATCAGGAGAACCTCTGCTTTCTCCGACAAGATTTTCTGAACCAGCTGTGGGATGAGGGGCAGCGGCGGGAAAACGTACAAAAGGCCTCTGGGCCAGTGGCATCTCAAAGCGTTTGTTCCCTCCGCTTGCTGGGTGGCATATATTGACAAAAATCTCGGGAGTTATGAGTTGGCTGGACTGGCAAACAGATAGACACCGGCAGTCCGAACTTGATGGTCAGTTGATGGAAGATCGCTGCATTTTCGATGGTCGTCCAACTTAGCCAGTCCGCTCTCACATTGTGCACTCCCGAGATGTGGTCTGCCTGCAGGGAGGTCAGATGGTGCTCTGCCCACCGTCCCAAGGCCTCCGCCTCTGCCATCAGGGCCCTGGACTTGGTGCCCGCCCCCCTTTTTGTCTTCGGCCTTGAGCCCCTCAAGGAGGATATCCGGAAGGACGGAATTGGAAGCGAGATATATAACTGGAACCCCCACCTGTGGAAGCTTCAAGATATCTTCCAAATTATTCTCCACAGAATAGAGGTGTTTGTAGCCCCATTAGGGTTGATTAGTGATCCAGGCTGTGCCCACTGGTGCTGGATCACGTTCACGAACAGCTCAGGCACAGGAACCAAGTCCTGCGCAGGAGTAGTCTCTTTGAAGAGTCCCTGTTTATGATCCTGGGTCCCAGAGGGGTCTGGCTTACTGCATTTTGGCGAGGAGGCAGGATGTTTCTCTGGCACCGTCTTGCCGCTTTCAGCCATGATGATCTTCAACCGGAATGAAGACAGACTCTCACGGCCCTTCGGGGAGACTCTGCAGGCAGTAGACTGGCACTGGCGCGAGCTGGGAGCTGCTGTGCGCTGCGCAGATATGTCCATAGGACAGGAGCATGACCAGACAGCCAAAACTCTTCTAGGCCACAATAGAGATGGTTCCAGAGGGAGGAGGCCTTGCCAGAGCCCCGAACGAAGGCCAGAAACTCCCTTGTGGCAATCTGCAGGCTGGGAGGAAAAGCGCGGCAACTCCAAACGGCCTGCAGCAAAAAGCGCATGAAAAGCGCTTTCAAAATGGCCACCATGCTTCTCGGACGCTCAGGGAGCTGTCAGGCATAAACTGGAGCCTCTGCCGAGGACTTCGGCAGCTGCAGTTAGTTAAGACAGCCGGGGGAAAAGGAAGCCTCCTACCTTCCCCCACATTCGCCAGCAGCCACTGGACAAATGCCCCGATGATCGCAGGGTCTGCAGCGATGAGGAGCCTGGAAATCCGAAAGGCTCATCAGCGATTTTTTTTTAAAACGGCACGAAAATTTTCCTAACATTACTTCTCAGGAAATGACAAAAATAAGAAAAAGATAAGCTAACCAATGGAGAGTCCCAATCTATTCGCACAAGTACTCAGGAACTCCCCAAAATGTGTCCAACTGGGCTGGACTGAGTTTTTGAACTGGACCTCAATGAGGAGAGGAGACGTAGCTAAGAATTTCAACTCAGTCCTTGGGCGAATAGACTGAATTTAACCCATGCTTGGACTCTCCAAGCAGCGCACAGGAGAAAAAGTGAGTTACAACCCATCCATGAAATTATGACTGTCGTACCACCTCCCCGGTCATGTGATCACAATTTGGTGCTTAACAACCAGATCACATTTACAACAGTTGCAGTATCTTGGGATCACAAGATCGTGATTTGCAACCTTCCCAGCCAGCTTCAAAATCAATTGGCGAAGCTGAATTCACTTAACAACTGTGCAATTTGCTTAATGACAACAATGATTCACTTAATCATAAAATGGTTGTATAATTGGATCTGATCATGTGATGATTATCTTGACAAGCACATCACTTAGCTATCAAAATTCCAGTGCCAACTGAGGTCATAATTCAAGGACTGCCTGTACCATATTATCTTGCTCTTTAATAAATGACACAAGGTATTTTGAATAATGATGGACTATAAATACTTTCAATAAATAAATACCAAATTATATTTTAGCATTTCCCTGAAAAGATACATTGAAATTATCTGAATGCAGCAGTAAGCTGATAAACATTTTGATTTTTTTAACTTTTTATTTTGTAAAAGGGATTTTTAAATAATAGAAGATTTCATTAAACAGAATACATGGATAGCCAGTTATTAATACTAATGGAGCACAAAATACAAATACCACAATCATTCACTGAGAAATTAAAGCAATCCAGTAAGTCATGCAGAGTGAGTTTTCTACACAAAACAAATGCTTTTCAGTTCCCTTACAAATTAATTCAGAAATAGAAAACATGCTTAAATAATTAATATTTTACCATCCATCTGCATCTTCTTTGGTTGCATAGAAGGTGAAGACATTGAAGTGGTAACTCTAAAATTTGCAGGGAGGGTCTCTGCTGATCCAGCAGCTAAACCCCTTATATCCTTTGGTCTGAACTTCTTTCTCCATGAAGGTGCTCGTCTAAAGCTTTTATCATCATCCTGTCAAATTAACAAGCAGGATGAAAAAAATCATACTAGAAAATGAGAAAGACACTACAAAATTTCTGCAATACAATACAGGTGATTATGACAGGTACCATAGCTGTATCCTTGAAATATACATTTACATTTTACTGACCTTTTTACAAGAATTTACAGTCAGATTCCTCCCCCCCCCCCAAATCCTAATAATATACCTCTTTCTTTTTATAAAGATAATAACACAGGTCTGCAAAAAAAAAAATTGAGAGCTGTTTTGGTTATTCCACGTACTTTATGTTTTTTTGGTGCACTGAATCCGAAAATGACCTCCATTTTGTCATAGGACATCACGTTTCCTGACAACCTCAAAATAAATGGAAACAGACTTATAAAATTAAAGTTTTATTACAATATTTTCATGAAAATCCTTTTTTGAACGGAAATGAGCTCATCTACACACACTAAACTCCATTCTTCTTCCTTGTGAGGCTCCTCTTGGTGCATTTACGCTTGTGAGTAGCATCTGTAATGTCTCTCTGAAGCATCCAACAGTAGTCTGCCATCATTGTAATGCTCCATTTTCCCTGGTACCTCCTTTCCATCTCTTTAATGTCTTGGTGGAATCGTTCACCTTATTCCTCACTCACAGCTCCCAAATTTTCAGGAAAGTAGTCAAGGTGGGACTGGAGGAAATGCACTTTCAAACTCATCAGGCAACCTAAAGCTTGAAATGCTTTCAGAATTCTTCCAACGATCTTTTTGTAGTGAGGATCTTTGTTATTGCCTAAACATTTCTGTTTGACTTCTTTAAATGCAATCCACCATTCTTTTTGAGGATCCCTCATGGTATTGACAAACTCTTGATCAACTATAAGCCTTCTAATGTCTGGTCCAACGAATATACCTTCCTTCAATTTTGCCTCCAACAGGCATGGAAACGTGGTGACCAAGTATTTGAAGCATTCTCCATCTCTTGGAAGTGATTTTACGAATTGCTTCATCAATCCCAATTTTATGCAGAGAGGTGGTAGAAGAATTTTATGGTTGAAGAATGACAAGCTAACATGAATTGCGATGAAAAAGTGTGAACAGCCTAGAACCAAGAACCTGATGATTCGTGCACAAGTGTGGCATGCAGGAGAGAGCAGCTCTGTGTCTGTACATAAGACATCACAGTGCTGGCCACGCCCCCTGCACTGACCGGAGATGCTGCTATCTGCCCTGTGTCTCCCTCCCACTGGAGTCTTCAGGAAAGATTAACCCCTTCTACTGTTAGAAGTACAGACTTAAAACTTGCTTAACTTATGTATATATTGCTGACCATGAGATTTACAGTGCTATATTTTTTTACATAACTCAGACAAACCCTTTAAGGTTTTTTTGGCATTTTATATCTTAAATGCACATGTTAATTAATTAATAGTAATTGGGATTTTAAATTTGGTTAAAAACCCATAATATAAAAAAATACCAAAAATTAAAAAAAAATTGATAAATTTGAAGGCAATTTTGCATGTTGAGGCAAATCATGATGTTTAGGAGTTTTTTCAATATTTTATTTGTTTTCAGCACACCAAAATACATGGAAATTAGATGAAAATAATCAAACAGCTTTTTAGTCGCAGACCTGTGATTTATTGCTCTATATCTTAGTACTTAAGTGAACCATTATTTTCTTATCTAGTCTCATAAACAGTAACCAAAAATAGAATTACCAGATCGTATGCTAAATCAGTTTTCTGTTTTTTGCTACCAAACTTGATCTCTATGGGTGGCATACCAGCACTTAAAATCTCAGAGATGGGATAATGAAGTGTTCTGCCTTTGCTTCTTTTAAAAATTATGGGATCAACAATCATGATATTGTGACTGATTTTATCTGCAAAACTGGTTACTGCTATTATTTGAGATTTCTACTCATTCCTCAGCCTTTGTAAATAGCTCAACTAAGGAAGATGTGGACATTAGGGTGGTAAAAAAAATTCAAAGTAAATGTTGCTACCAGGATTGTCATAGATTAAGTTTGAAGAAGAGTTTTACTTGGATCTTCATATCAATTTCTATTTTATACCACTTGTGTGACATTTTTCCAGTAGCCTCACTTTCTTAGATTATAGAACTGATACAGTTTTATGGCTGAATGAAAAAAGCATGACCCGAGTTTGATCAATTGGTGTTTAGTCAAAGCAGCATGAGATAGACAATATGAAATCTTGAGGAACTACTGCTGCTTCTTTTCTTCTCTCAAAAAATTTGCTCAGAATTGAAATCTGTTTGTAGCTAATGAAATGAAAATTTGAATGCATTTATAGAAATAACAGAACAATGGAAAATCTTGAAGATAAAGTGATATTGAACATGTAGTGAAGTTTATATAAAAACTTCTTTAAAATAAAGGAAACAAGTTATCTTTGATCACAATGAGTCATTTTGCCTGCAATTTGTATGTACTATTAATTTTGGGCGCTATAATAGCAGAAAGAACAAAAATGGACCATTAGTTATATGAAAACTTTATTACCGGTAGTATGTTTTTCTGCAGTGAATAGGGTGTCACATACTTCAAAATCTTTCTGTAAAGAAAGATTTGATGCAGATTATTTTGGCTGCCCATATAAATAATAATAGGCTGGATAGACTCATAAAATTAATCTTACCTCTTCAAACTTTCTGTCCGTACCCATCACAAGAAGATTATTAAATTCCCTCTCCAAGACAGCACGAGCCTAAATTAAAAATAATTACAAAATTTAAAAATATTTCAAACATTTGAGCTACACTTTCAGAATTTAGATTTACAAAATGTATATGATTTAATGTCCAAACAAAATAGCATTTTCCTGGATTTTCATCATTTTTAAAATACTTCAAAGAATATAAAAGAAAGAATATAAAAAGTCAAGACTTGTTTTCTCTCTTTTCAGAATGCCAAACTCAAAATGGGTTTAAATTGCAAACTGGAAAAATATCTAACAATTACTGTTGACAAGTGCAACCAATTAGCCAAAAGTTAGTAAACTTCCCTTCACTGGATAAAAACAGAAATTAACCAGATATGTAATTAGATTATTTAGTTGGGGTTTCTGCATTGAGCAGGTATTGACCATGATAACCAAAATGTCTGTTTGCAATTCTACGATTTACAACTATTTACATATTTAAATAGTTTTATGATTTAAAATTGTTACCATCAGTGAATCTGCTTTGCTTTCTGACTGGCACAGCTTTCAGATAAAACACAGTAGCAATAGCAATAGCAGTTAGACTTATATACCGCTTCATAGAGCTTTCAGCCTTCTCTAAGCGGTTTACAGAGTCAGCATATTGCCGCCAACAACAATCTGGGTCCTCATTTTACCCACCTCGGAAGGATGGAAGGCTGAGTCAACCCTGAGCCGGTGAGATTTGAACAGCCGAACTGCAGAACTGCAGTCAGCTGAAGTAGCCTGCAGTGCTGCATTTAACTGCGCCACCTCGGCTCTTCTAATAATCTTCTAATAATAAAAGTAAAGTTCAGGCATGTCATATTATAGTATGAAAAGTTAAATAGTTAATCAAAAAAATTCTCATTGCTTCACATTAAATCTTATAAAGTTCCAAAATGCCTTATGAATAAAAACATATCAAGTGATATTATTATAATTACCTGTGTATTCTGAGTTGGTATTTGTAAAGAAAGAGCTAATGCATTGTGATCAAAAGTTTCATCTAAGGCCAGAAGTGCACCATGAACTCCACTTTCTATAAGGTTATTTGCATATTCTTTAAGGCCAATTGATACCACCCAGTGAATCATCCTCTCATTGCTCCAAACAAGGACATCTATATAAAAATAAATAAATATTTAAGTCATAAAATAATTGATCATTTGTACTTGCCAAAGATTAATGGATGGATTCAGCTTTCTATACTATTCAATGATACAAGATTCAGTGGAATCTCCAGCTGTCTTCACTGATTTCCCCTTCTGGTACTCCCACATTGTTGCATAAACTTTCCTGAACCCCCAAAGCAAATTTGCAGAACCACATGAAGTTATAGAGGGAAGAGATGGCAAAACTAGCTCTTTTCTTTCTTCCAGTGGAACAATCTTAATAGGTTTTACCAGTAATGTGAATGAAAGCCCAACATTTACAGGGAGAGGTGGGAGGGAGAATGGCTAAATGGATAGATGGGTTATTGTTCTACTGAATATCAAAGCTCAGAAAAAATAGTTTTATACATTTGGACTTTCTGCTCATAAGGTATATAATTTATTTTACAGAATTTGTAGTTCAAATAGGAGTAAAAATACTTAAGGAATGAATTCACTTAAATGTTTTGGTGTTAGTACATTATAGTTATTTTAATGTTTTACCAGTATTTCTTATAGACTTACTTGCATTTTAATAAGATGACAAAAACAGTTATAACTGATACATTCTCCAAGTTTTATTAACTGCACTACAGTACTGCTAATAGTTTTTGTAGACTAATTTTTTAAAGGGTTCAGCTTGTGCTCATTTTACATATATTAAATCATGGTTCATCAATCATGGTAAGCCTTGTTTGAGCTTAGCATAATGTGTGAAGCCAGCTATTGTGGATTATTATTATGTGCAGGAATAAAATCCTAGCTTTGTAGACTAGATGAATGAAGCCACTAAATAAAGCATAAGGGAAGGCAAGGTTATTTAAAATATAGGAACTCCATGGATGTATTAATCCTCTTTCTGACTCTACACCTGAGCTGCACTGATTGCTACATAAAAAGCTTTCTGAAAACTGGTAAGCTGAGGAAGACAAGTTTCATTGTTCAGGATGTATTAGACACCATTAATATGCCTGAATTACTTTTTAGTTTATTGTCTGTCAATCTGCTTAATATAAACATCTTAAGAACAAAGAAATTATATAATGCTATTGCTTGGTTAAAAAAATTGAACATAAGATCAATAAGAAGGTAGGCATCTTATGTTAATCCTACATAAAACCTAAGAAGTATCTTTGAGAATATTTACAACCATGCAGTCTTTTAGTCAATGGAAAACAATTGAATTAAGGTAACTGTATTATTATATTTATCACATTTATTTCAGCGGTGGGATTCACTTACCTTTCCTACCGGTTCGCAAATGTGAGCACGTGCTCACTTCACTCACATCGCATCTGCACACTACCTTCTGTGCATGCGCACTGCTCGCGCATTACATCGGGGCAAGTGGGCAGAGCCCCCCACAGCCATCGCTACCAGTTTGACCAAACTGGAGAGAACTGGCTGAATACCACCTCTGATTTATTTCCTATGACTCTGGACAGCATACTCTACATAGTGCTTCCCCCAAAACAATCATCCTGTGAAAATAGTTGGGCACTAAAACAAGGATTAGTCCAGGGTCACTCAACCAATTACTATGCCTAAGAGAAGATCAGAATTCAATCACCTGTTCTCTAGGGAAGCGTCTTAACTGTTATGCTAAAGTGGTTTGGCTTTAAAGTTTGAATATTTAATAAATTATTAACAGTATCAAAGCCAGAAAAGCAAAAGTCTACCTTTAATTTCATTCAGGCTTCCTTCTCTTCTTCTTTCAAGTTCTTTCCGATCATAATTTAATCTTCGGAGACACATAATGCCACACTGGAAGCTATTTCTTTAAAAGTATTTTTTAAAAAAGAGAGATTAAGCACGGCAATTGAAATGTTTATTAGTAATTACTATTTTAAATATATTTACCTGTGAAAACTGTCTACCATTTTAAGTTGACCACGAAGATCTTTTTTAGTTAAATGGTCCAGCATTCTAGCATCAACAAGACATTCCATAAAATAACTGCGATACTGAGGAAGCCCCAAACTAGGAAGCCATTCATTGCCAATCCATTCGTGGTTCATATCACCATAGGCTAAAGTCTATAAAAAATAAAGCAAAGGGTTATTTGAAATAAGGAGCTTTTATACATAAATTGGGGGCTGAATCCAGAATTTTTTTCTATTGATAAAAACTGCTCTAAGCAGAGTCTTGTTTTTCTAACAGGATAAAATATGTTAACGCTTCTAGTTTTTAATCCCCTATACCTCCTAGCATACTAGTAGTTAAGGAAGCAATCTCCAAAGCATATTTTAGATGATTCATGGGAGTGGAGGGAAAAACTGAAAAAGACTGCTTCTCCTCTGTTCACCTAGACGCTTCAACAGATCAAAAATATATTCAGTTTTGGTCACCACGATGTAGAAAAGATGTGGAGACTCTAGAAAGAGTGCAGAGAAGAGCAACAAAGATGATTAGGGGACTGGAGACTAAAACATAAGAACAATTGCAGGAACTGGGTATGTCTAGTTTAATGAAAAGAAGAACTAGGGGAGACATGATAGCAGTGTTCCAATATCTCAGGAGTTGTCACAAAGAAGAGGGAGTCAAACTATTCTTCAAGGCACCTGAGGGTAGAACAAGAAGCAATGGGTGGAAACTAATCAAGGAGAGAAGCAACTTAGAACTGAGGAGAAATTTCCTGACAGTTAGAACAATTAATCAGTGGAACAGCTTGCCTCCAGAAGTTGTGAATGCCCCAACACTGCAAGTCTTTAAGAAGATGTTGGATAGCCATTTTTCTGGAATGGTATAGGGTTTCCTGCCTAGGCAGGTGGTTGGACTAGAAGACCTCCAAGGTCCCTTCCAACTCTGCTATTGTATTGTATTTACAAAAGAGTTTTACTGCATTTACCAAAAGTCAACACAGAAAGCTGCATTCATGGCAAAATACACACCTTAAAATTTATATCTTTTATTTATCTGGTGTTCACTAAAAAAACAGGTGAAGTATACATGGGAGATGAATATATATAATCTTCATCCATATCCTTTGAGATCATATCAAACAGGAGTAATTCTCTAATATGCATCTATTCCTACCTAGAAATATGCATTAGCTTTTCATATTTCATATATTTGCCACAGTAGACAGTATAGGACCACTCACATGTACATATTATTAAAAAATAAGTAGAAGCTATTATTAAAAGAAGCCTAACGTCTTCTGAGTCTGAAAATTCTAACTATTTATATAATCTCAACTCCCAATCTTAAGAATACATGTTGATTTATTTATTCAATTTCTATAGCCACCCATCTCAGTCAATGACTCTGGGCAGCTTACAATTCAATTCAATTTTATAACTTTTGCAGATTTTTTTAAAAAAAATCAACACCTGTCAGTTAAACATCAGGAGGCAGAATGTCTCAATCTGAGGCAATTCTGGATGGCTTACAACATTAAACAATAAACCCATAAACCTTACATATATAAACATTTAAATTTATTGTTTTTAATATGGTTAGCCAACCAGAATCACTTTGCAGCGAGATGGGCAACAAGCAAATTTAATAAATAAAGGTCAATTTCTGAAGTCAAAATTTCAAAAATTATTTTGAATATATTTAAGTAAGAATTATTCTGAAGAAAAACTGATGTGTTTCTGTTAAATATATAAATAAGCACTGAAAATTAGATTTTATGATTTAATAAATTTTAGCTAAAGTTTAAACATGTAAAAGAAAAGTCTCCAACCTGAGCCCAGCTTCCTTCCTCATCTTCCTGACGTTAGGTAATTAGAAAAAGTAAAAGGACATACAGATGTTAGTATTTATAAGTTTAGTAAGTTAAGTAAACACAAGGTAATGACCACAATCCAGGGCATAAAGGAACTAAATAACCATGTAAATGAATATAAAATTATTCTCAATAGACAATTTATCGCTGCATGTACTTATATATCCCCAAAGAGTAAATATTTTTGAGTGTAAAATTATTCTCCTGGATTGTGGTCATATTTCAGTAATGAAAAAAGCAACATGCTATTTCAAGATAAAAAGAACCATGCATCTCAAATTGTGCATATATGCATCTCTCTTAATATATTTATACCTTCAGGAAAACTGATAAACCACATACTGCTTTATTTTTCCACACAAGAAGTAGCCTCTATATAAAAACTCAAAGAAAATTTTAAGTAGTGGCATCTCATATAAAATTAATGCATTGATCTTCTTTGAAATAACAATATACAGAGGCAAATGTTCTATTCTCCCCTCACCTACACAATGACCTTGGTGGAAAAACATTTTACAGCATGGCTGATAAGTGGGTTAGTTATTAAAAATCAATCATAATTAAGAATCTAGTTATATTAATATTTCTATTTTTCCAGATGTACATGATTCAAGCAATCAAGAAGTAGGAGCACTTCCACAACTAACCGTTTGTGGTGTAGATGTAAGATTTTCCATTTCTTCATGCGTTACCCAGACATTTCCTGTAGTCTAAAATGACCCCATAGTGAACCAATCACATCCAATGAAAGGAAAGCAGTAACAAAGAGGAAAGGTTGCAGAATATATAAGCAACAGGTGTGTTTAAGGAGCAGGCATGGGCAAAAGCAAGTTTCAAGACTATTAAATATAAGCTCATGTGAAAAGCAAGCCCCACAGGTAATACATTTATCTCTATTACATACGAAATTATATTTAAATATAATTGTAATAAATACAATTGCTACATTAGACTTCCAGGCATGATATTTACACTGAGTATTTCAATTAGATTTTGGAGAGTGCTTTGGTTGCTTTTAAGTTATTTGCCACAAACATCTATTTTCTCATCCGGAAAAATAAGATATAGTACTTTAGCAAGCCTTCTTGTGCACATTCATCCCATATTTTCTATCTTATAGTAATACTCTAACAACAAAATTGTGATTTGTAATCCTGGATTTAAGAACAAATACAAACCACATTTTATTACTGGTAGTAGAACACAAACATAACATATTTTATTACAAATCAAAAAGTAAGTATAACATGCAAGTTCAAGATTTAATTATGTACCAATAAGCCATTATTTGACATTTTACATTAATCACTTTACAATTGAGAAGTTGGCTTTTAAGATCCAATTATTCTTTAATTGATCGTTTTCCAATTTTCTTTCAAATCAGTCTTTATCCATAGTTATTTTCATAAGAGGAACAGTCATCTTAAATCCTATCATCCAAATTACAGTTCTCAAAATATCAAGTTAGTCTAACTATTAGCAATGTTAGCTGGGAAATGAGGAAATTGTAGTCCAACAGTTTTGGAAGAAATATGATTAGGGAAAGCTATGCTAGCCCTTAATTGCTAGAAGGGAGATGCATATATGCAGCCAGAATAAATTCCAATTCAGATCTGGATGCATATCCACATTACAGTTTTCATCTAGTTCCAATTGAATTTGCTGATGCTAATCACACAGTGATCATTACAAATAAAATGAAATTAAAATGTACTGGGCAAAATATACTAGACTAAATGTACTATGAGATGTATCTAATTGAAATTTACCAATGGTGGCCCTTGCTTACTAGAATATTACTTGGACAGAACTGTAACTTTATCAAAGTATCGATTGTTTTATCAAAGGACCGATTGCTTTATCAAAGTACTGATATGTAAATATTTAGCATCTAGGTGATTTTGGCTAATCCACATGTCTTGCATGAGCAGAAAAGAGACTTTTAATTTCCTGAGAAATTAAAATTTTTGTTAAATTTCTCTCACTTTTTTCTGTCCTGCCTATCTCATCCTGCATCATTGTAGAAAACCTATTGATCTTCAGGAACAGATTTGTGGCAAAGAAGGTGAACACATGACAGAAAAACTACAGTAGGCACAGTTCCACTGAATCCAGACTCTTCTGGATTCAGGTCAGTAGAAATTTAAAGCTAAGTTCCATAACCACTGGTTGGTCTCAGTAGCCAAAAGTAAGCTTCACTCCTTCACTGTATTATCATTTCATTTCATTTATTGAATTTATAGGCCGCCCAATCCCAGAGGACTGTTTTTAAAACAAACCTCTGTCCCCTGCAACATTACTACAATGTTTTGTAGTAAACATTACTACAATGTTTTTTACTACAAAGACAAACCAGGTTGCAATCCTTTCCTTAGAACTAAGTTGGAGGACTGCCTGCTACTTCACTTTCAAAGTACTTCAATGGCCTTGTTCACCAGAGAAATTGTATGTCAGCTTTTAAATTATAAGTAGCTTATGAAAAACTAAGTTATTAAACTAGCTTATGAAAAAACAAGTTATTACAGATTTATTTAAAAAGTTTATTTCTTATCATTTTCTTCTTAATGTTCTCATAACTCCTCTATTTTTTCTCTCAAGAGCATCTTCTTATTCAAGAGAATAGCTTATGCCCAATAACAAACGTGAATGTATAGAAAGTCTGATAAATCTCTTTATGGCATTGTTCAAGTTCTCTTACCGTTCTTGATGTAGGAGGAGCCGATGGACTTGTTAGTGACATAATTTCTTGTATGGCAAGTCTCAGTTTTAACCTATGTAAAGGATTACTGATTCCGATTTCACGCTGTATTTCAGTATCAGACAAGGCTGACATTATAGCACCACTTTTCACATTTGCACGGCAAGCAGCCACATACCAAGCAGGCATCCCAACCCACAACTGAAAAATAAATACAAAATTGCAATAAGGTACATAATTACTTTAACGTTGCAAATTAAAGGCATTATTATGTTGAATTGAAAACATTTCTTACCTCTAGCCAGACAACCACCGTGGGGCCATCCCACTGAGCAAAAGGCAGACCCTGCCTCCGAGCTTCTTCAAGAAGTTCATGCCTAAGAAAATGAGCAACATACATTAATATATTTGCTTCACTGCTGCCCTCTATAATCTTTCTTCTTTCATTCTTCTTCTTAAATTTATTAAACATCATTGGAAGCTGCAAATTACCTGAGTTGAGTAGAACTGTAACATCTGTTCCTTTAAAAGTCAAATAAGTCATGAAGGACAAGTTTCCAACCTAAGTTTCCTTAATATATTGGAACTTACTTTTTCTGCAGTTTTCTATTCTTTTCTGCTTGTCCTCCAAGTTTTCCAAGCCCCAAACCATCCTGAGTTGAACTTTCTGCTTCTAATGCACTAACTGTAAGAAACAAGAATTGCAGTGAGAAATATTTTCTCCAATGTTTCTGAATTAGTGTTAGATATACATACAAAGGGGAATGGCACATCTCTATCATTATGTCTGCTGCCCAGCAATCAATGCACTGCTATCCTAATTATTTAATGACTTTAAAATTCATATTATTAATGAATTTAATTCATATGTTGACTATTAATGCTACCTATATTGTTGGGGAGCATTCAAATAAATACATTCAAATACATACTTCATTTTAGGAACACTCAATGAAATGTAGCCCTTTAACCTAAAGTAACTGTACCCTCCTAAAGATCTGGCAGGGCCACTTGAAGAGTCTTTCCTAATATGTACAAATATGTTCAAATATAGGAGACAGCTTTGCTGTGAGTATTGCATATATGAGAGGACCCTTGAATTAGAGCAGCTCAAGTATAAAATGTTATGGAACATTCAGTCCATAAAAGATCTGTACCCAAACTAATATCACAAAAATTAGTACTTTCATATAAAATCATATGGTTATTAACTGCCTGTGAACCATGACTTTGGTACATATCTAAGAAATAGCCTTTATAATTATCAGTATCAGTAGGAGAGTTAACTGTATTATTTATAGCTAATAATTATTTATTATTAGGTTCTGCTAATTTGAATAATGTAGACTCTACAAAACAACTGTCTTTTGCGAGAAATTGATTATTATTATTTACTTCACATATTACAAATAGGTACTTTGTATAATAGTAATCCTAGCATTTATTCAACTTTATATTTTGGGTTAGTAATATACCAACCTTGTCCCAAGAGCTCCTTATTCATCTGTCCAGATCGACCTTTTTCTTTCTTACCAAACAGGCGGCCAATTGAGGATTTGATCCCCTTCTTTTTAGGGGCTTTGTGGAGGGAATCTTGACTGCTATTACTGCTACTGGGATTGCTTACTTGTCCATCTTGAGAGCCTGTGGAACTGTAGGACAGAAATTGTTAAGCCAATTCTAAAGTATTCATTATCCATGCCTACTCTGCTCCAGGATCATTCAGCTAATAAGTAATAAATACAAATATATTTAAATGACACAGTCATTTAATGGTTTGAGTGCAAAGGAAGTATAAATGAAGACCATATGTTTTTAATTAATTTAATTAATTTAAAAATAAATTGATTTGATGTTTATTAAAAACAAAATAGGATTTTTAAAAGAAAATTTCCACATAAATTTGAAAGCAATCGGTTATAACATTGCCTGAATGTCTACCATTTTTAACATTTTAAAAATCTAAAATATATATATATAAATAGAGAATCCATTGATATAAATAACTATAATTATTACTGTGGATTCTTCCAGTTAATTGTATTTTAAATAGCTATGGGAAATTATGAAATATATTTTGCTATTCCTCTGCAGTTTGCTACTGTCATTATTAAAACATTTTTAGACTGTTTTGGTGCTAACAAAGACCTCTAATTAATTTATAATATAATCAAACCCAATCTATTTACTAAACTGCTATTAAGTAGAATTATGTTAACACAAAAAACCCCAGCGAAGCTGCAAAGTGTCAACTTCAATATGTGAATCAAGCAAAACTGAAAATTAGATGGAATAAGACTACTAGCAAAGCAAGACTACTATAACCACTTTCAGATGTAATTTCCATAGTCAAAAAACTTCCAGATATGATTCTATAATTATCCTCTTCTGTTTTTGAACTGGTAAAGCCATCAAAATGGGAAGTTAACACAAAAGGATGCAATGCTGCAATTATTCGTTCCCAAAGCTGCTTAAATTTAAATGTTTTATTAAGAATCAATTTAGATCAGTGGTGGGTTCTGGATCCCGTTGCAACTGGTACGGTGCAGTGGGGCTGGGCGTCCACCACATGAATGCACGTACTTACCAAGCAGCTGTACTTACAGCTGCTGGGCGGAGCGTCACGCAGGAGCCGTACGCTCTGTGTACGTGCGCGGAATCCCCGATCAGCTCAAATACAGGTAAGGAGGGAGGGAGGGCCCTCAGGAGCACCGTACCAGAATAGTACCTGGTGCTCCAGCAGGTCATATCCCACCACTAATTTAGATCTTACGATTAATTTTAAATAAACAGAAACGCTCCAAGTCAGCGCTCAATTGAACGGGAGTTCCCCCCTACTACTGTGCTTAGCATTAGTTTGATATCTGAAAGTCATGGAAATTATGAAACTTGCCACAAATAAAAAACACATGTTTTCTATCTTATCAAAGAATGTGAGAACAAAGTATTATGTTAATACAGAAAAGGGAAGAGCAGTGATACTGGGAGCGAGAGGGTACAATGCCTCAAAAAATATCTCACGTATTCTAGAAGACAAACTGCCAACAAAAGTAAAAGCTTGCACAAATGGGCAAAAGAGATTTTTTAAAAAGACCAGTGATAAAGAGAACATTTAGAATACAGGCAGCAATGTAAACTGGTCGTTGGAGGCCAAAGAAACAAATGATATAATCATACAAAGTTGTTTCTGATACAGATCTCTATCTTTATTCAAAACACTTACTTTCGAACATCTCTTATATCTTCCTGGCTCATTGTATGCAAAGCTCCTTTATAAGATTTATCCAAATGCAGTGATCGAGGTGAAGATGGTGGTGAGGTCTCACATTTTATTGTAGCCTTGTCGTCTCTAATTTCTTCTCTAGAAACTGGAGACTAAGAAAGAATGCAACTTAAGTATGTCTTGTATCTTAAATTAAGATGTGAAAACAGACCAGTAGCAAATTTTAACTATTACAAATTTCTTTGCTTCAGAAGTTGCTCTTTCCATAGGTGATTAGATAAATTATCTGACTCAACAAAGCTATACAAATAAGACGTGTTTATATTTTTTTATCATAAGTAGGCATGATAATGTACAAGGAACAATCTATCTTGCAATTGAACTATATAAATTTGAAATTGCTTTTGGAAGAGCTGAAGTGACTTACTGAAATTAATAGGTAGAATTCAAAAGAGTGTTTTACCACATTTCTTTTTCTTAACACTTTCCATAAAACAGAAATTTAGAGATTTGAAGTAAGACCTTTTTAAGGAAATAATGTTGAAATGTTTATACTGATTTTTTCCCAGTCACCATTGAGTGCATCACTATTACATTTATTTTTAATCTTTCAGGAATTCAAGTGATCTGAAGGTTTCTGAAGCTAAAAAACAAGATATTTTCAATGGAGTATACAATAAGAAGGGATACAAAATTAGATACCATGTTTCTACAGCCAGCCCAAAGAAATCAGAAAAAGAAGAGTTAAAGTGAAATGTACTATAACTCTGATGGCAAACCTATGGCACGTGTGTCAGAGTTGGCATGACGAGCCTTCTCTGTGGAAATGTGCATCGTCGCCCCAGCTCAGCCAGCTGGTTGTTGGGTTTGCAAAGCGCGCAGGCGCATTGGCCAGCTGGTCATCGGGCTTCCGGTGCTCTGGCGCGCACTTTCCAGTTAGGGCACTCTGTGCTAAAGAGGTTTGCCACCACTGTACTATAATCTGAAATGCAGACTTTCAACTACCCAATCATTCTCTAGATTGAATTCAAACATAGCTATATGTAAAGGTCAAAGTGATTCCATTTCATTTTAGTAATACTTACTAAAATCTGATTTGGTTTCAGATTTGGTTTTGATTCAGAGGTTAGATAACATGATGCTGCCATTGCTCTTTTAAAGGAATCTAAAGCAGAGAAATGGAATGTACGAAAATCCTTACTCTACAGTTAAGGTTTCAGCCTAAACAGTGCCTTTTAAATTATTTTGTTCTCTGAAGAGCATATAAGTACACTATCCAGTTTCTCTCTCTGCTTGTGAATGAAGAAAAGCTTAGTGGAATGTATGTATCTGGAGAATAAGCAAACAGCAAAGATGGACATATAGAAATAATTCACATAATATTCCTACAGTGGTCATATTGATCAAGGTATTTCACACATACACACACTGCATGTAAACAATTGTATAATACTAGATTCAACATAAGTCTGCTGTTGAAGGTTTACCTTTCTATGGTGTTTCCTTAAATCACTAGGCTGACAGATGCATGCAAAGAAGAGAAAGTAAAATAAAGCAAATTGGTAGATAATTGTAATTTAAAAAGAATTAGCATAACATACTACCATTACCATTATTCTACCATTAAAGTGAAGTAAAATATGTACTTAGTTTTTTGATTAAATCTTTATAATAACCATAAAATGCCCGAGTCCTAAAAAGCATGCCTATAATTTGTAGGGTTTTTTTTCCGTTACCGACTAGTATAAATATAATCAATCTTGGTAATCTTCATAAATAATGGAAAGAATTCTTTAACTGGAGGAGGACAAGTATATTTTTATCATAAAAACACTTAGATCCTTAATAACTAAACATTTCAATGAAAATACATTTTTATAAGTATGAGGATTCTTGGGGATCTTGTAAGAATAAAAACTGAAGCAAAGATACTGTTCTAGTTCATATATACAGAAACCAAGAAAAGTTATGAGTTTGCTTACAAGACA